TATTGGGAAATAAAAGTTGTTAGCTGTTACAGGTAGAGATAATTTATCAATACAGCTACTTCTGTGTCTCTTACTGGGAATGTAAATTACTTAATGAATTTGTTTTAGTGCAGTTACAAGATGATGGTTATAATAAGACTTTTCCATCAAAGTCTATGAAGAGACATTAAAACATTAATTCCTCTTCTCATGTACATTCATCTTATGCAATCAATAACTATTGCAATACACATTCCAACGTGTTTTAGAATTTAACTCTTGATTTCCATGGAGTAGTTAGAGCTGTTGCTTTCCTACTTGAATGCTTGTCAATGCATACTTGGCATATGTAAATACTAGTGCACTTAATGAGCAAACTGCAGCACTGGAGTCTTGTTTTGATACTGATATTGACACTTGGAATGACTTGTCCTACCTTGCTATGTAACAGAGTGGCAGAAGACATCAAATGTTGTGATACCCAGTGTTGTGCCTTAACTATAGGGAAAATCTTCATTTCTATCAAAACTAGAGTTTATATTATTGAATTTATGTTTTTAATTCATGATCAGTTTGTCCATGGTGAAATTGCAGGTCATCATTAGTGATTGGGTCTTTGTCATATTCTTTGTACCCCAACGCATTGTTCCCTCTTTGATGGCTGAGAGCTCTGGATGGCTCGAGTGACTTGAGAAATTAGATGGCTCAGATATCTTTCCTGATGGGAACCTCCAACCTAACACAAAGCTTTCTCATCATGCTGCTGTGCACAGATAGACTTTCAGAATCTGAGCTCCAGCTCTGTGCAGAGCAGAATGACAGGTAACAAACCACAGGCACTGTTTCTTATCTCACCTCATCTCTATCCTGTCTGTTTCAGTGCTGGTAATTTTGCATTTCAGCCACAGACAGTTTCAAGCCCTTGATAGTTTTTTTTCCATCTTTGCACAAGTTCCTAAAATAACCACTAAAATTTTACCTATTTTTTGTTCCTTAATATTACCTAAGAGGGATAAACAAGGTGAGGTTTTCTCCTGGCATGAGAGTAAGTTATTCTCTTCAGGTGTATCAAATAGCATGACAAGAATGTTTTTCCCACTATTAGTTTATTTCGGAATGGATCAGTTGAAATCCTGCATTTAAAGATGAGCAAAGGTGATGTGAACAAGCAGTGCTCAGCACAGTGTGCCCAGCCAGTGGAAACACTGGGCTCTTTCTGTCTAGCCCAGGCCACTTGTTGGAAACTTCTAAAGACAATTCTGCCTTTCAGAATATGGTTTTCTTATCTCCAGAGCTGTTGTGCTCTGTGGTATGTTCTGCTTTATGGCTTTTCATTCCAATTAGGCTAAACTATGCAGAACTCTGCCAACTTCAGCATCACTGATGCTGCTCACAGCTGTGCAGTTTCAGCATCAGGACAACTGGTTGCACAATCAAACCTTGCAGGTACACCAGCAAAGCTTTTACTGTTAGATTTGAGACCTAGTTTGGTCAATACTCAAGGAAATATCCCTGTAAGTAAGTGCACGGTGGCAGCTTATCTGTTTGTGTGGGAGAGGCAGCAGTGAGTTTGCTCAGAGGTCTGCAAGGAGGGAATGGTGCTTAGAGCCAAACTTGTTTCCCACAAGCCTTCGAAGATGGTTTGTAAGAAAGGTTCATAAACAGCTTCTGTGTCTTCGTTACTTCCTCCAATGAGGAACTGCATGCAAAGCTAATTTAGGACCATAGCTGCTTATCAATAGATGAAGCTTAGAAAAGAGGTGGGTCAGTCATTAGGTATCTGGTGTGAAAGGGTGTCACAAACATCCAGTGTGCTATGAATGCTTCTCCTGGAGCAGATGTCTAGGTCCCAAAGATTGCCAGGACAACAGCCTCTCTGTCTTCTGTATTATTTTTTGCTCTTGTGTGATTTCATATTGTTACTCCCTGAAAATGGAGCTGTTGGCCAGCAGCAGTCCTGGTTACACTAGAAGAGACTTCTAAGGTGGATGCTAGTCATGATTTCATTGCTGGTAGCTTGTGTTTTACACTAAAATTACATAAAAATACAATTCCTAACATTGGGCCTGTCTATTTTATTCATCTTCTCTTTGCTAGATGAGGAAGTTACTTTTCTACTTTTACACTTAAACGTTTTTACCTTACCAACTTTGTCAGTCCAGTACTGCTGATTGATCTTCTCTGATCTCAGCAGCTTCCAAATGTCATTGCCTCTTGATTGTCTGCTGCTTCGTGCCAGAGAATGGTGAATTTTGAATTAAAGTGAGGTCCTAAGCAATATCCTGCTGTTACTTATGGGAGATGAAGACCATGATGGAAGCACAGGTCAAAGACTCTCTCAGGGTATTTAGGCAATGTCTGATTCACTCACTGCCTGTGAATGGTTTCATAAAAAAAAAAATAAATTATTAATTCTTGTTATCACAAAATTACTGTGTACTAGTTTCATCTTTGTCATTCTGTGATGTGATGCTTGTGCAGAAATGGTAATTGGAAGTGAAGTTAATGTAACCTGGAAGTGCTTGTGGCCTCAGAAAAGAACACCACTTTTATTTAGAGTAGTGTTATAAGCAGTAATGTTGGGATGCCCAAAGCACCCTCAAGCACTTGGGCTTCTGCTCCTCACTGATGGCTTTAGTGGGTTAGGTTGCTTTGCAAGTCACCTTTAAAGGCTCTTGAAGTTAATGGAAGTCCTTTTGTGCCTTCAATCTGTTACCAGACTGAAGTGTTCAAAATCCTGCTTGTTAAACTGTTAACGATGTTGGATTAATATTTAAACATGCAGCAAATGTAAGGCCAAAAAATGAATACTAAATTTTCATGTCCCAATACAAAGTGAGCTTCCTAACTTGCCCTCCTGCCACCAGGGGACATTCTGTGATTGAGCCTGAATTTTCAGCCTTAAGAGAAAAGTGTCTAGAAACCACTTTTCTTTATCCAAGGATTTCTAATAACATCTAGTGATTTTAACAAGCTTGTGCTGGCTCATGAATAGTGATACTCTGTACTTTTGGTTAGAATGAAGGAACATAAATCACTAAGTGTCAGGCAGCTTAGAAACCAGTGTGTCCTCATAATTGTTTAATATTTTTAACACAAAGGGAATTGCCTTCGAGCTAGTGAGTTCTGGTAGCCAGTCACCCATCAGTGATGCTTCAGAAAAAGAAGAGAATTGTTCTCTTATGAGTCTTGGCATAAAAATTTAATTAGCAGCTGAGCTCTTTCTGAAGATGAAAAAAAGCTGTTTTGCTTTATACAGTCACTTGCCTTTAACTGTTTGCTTTGTGTTTCTGTATTGATCACACAGACAAGATCTACCTTCTTCTGCATCTATTCTTTTTTCTCTTTCAGTAGCAATTTTGAAATTATTTGCCCCAGTTTCAGCAATTCTTTTTTTGACTTATGTTTCAGTGTATTTGAACACTGTTCTTGGAAGACATTTAGAACATAAGTAAGAGGGAGAAACTGATACATACTCAGATTTAATAGGTAGTGGATAAGAACTCTAGTTGTTAAATAAAATAATAATTATGACTATCATTGATAGATTTATTTCAATGAGTCTTTCTTTACAGGAGTACAGAACTAGTGAGTGTATAGTAATCAGAAAACCACTCAACTGGAATCAGATACCATTTATGTTATATATATATCTATATATTTATGGTATTATAGGGTCATCTCTTTAGCACGTGGTATTTTGCTCTTAAAGGAGTTAAATCTTAGCACACCTTTTCAGTGTCACAGTTTGATTCCTGTGAGAACTATGAATCAAGTTTTGTTTAATTTCTCAATCTCTTAATTACTTTAATCTGTTTTCTAACTTTACAAGGACACAGGAAACAAAAGAACAAGAATAGCCCCAAACCTTTAACTCTGTTGGCATTTGCTCCTTATGTCAAATATCTTAATGTCAAATTACTAAAATCTCTCATCTAATCTGATGTGTTTTCCAGAAGTGCACTGATGCATGGATGGACTCTGATCACCTGGAACCATAAATGTTTGGGTATTGTTTGTTTTTTACAGTTAGTAGAAATGCTTCAAGGCCTGGATATGTCAAAGAAGGTGTCTCTGCTTCCAGACATTCCTTGAATTAACTATCAGTCCCAGAGCTTTGAGAGCTGCCTGAAAACGGTCACCAGGGCAGAAGATACCTGAGGGAATATGTCATATGAGATGTGACTGGCTGAAAAATGTAGTCATTGACACTCAGCTGGCTTCTTTGATTTCTTGTGTGCCCAGACATGCATGTGTTTATCTCTTTGTTTATGTTTAGATGACAGCACTGAACTACCTCCTGGCCATGGATCCTGTAGACATCTTCATAACAGATGTTAATTCCTGGATGGTGTAGCTGTGAACTTTGTTATTCAGTTCTCCCAAGTGACACATGTTGGATGTCATACCCAGGCCTGTGACTTTACTTGGCAACAGAACCATTTCAACCAGCAGTTAGTTTCTTCTAGCTCCCACTAGGCCAAAAAAAGAAAAAAAGTGTTTCTACAAGCCCATCCTGTTCTAGGAGATACTCTCTAAAGTTATCTGCTCTTTCTATCAGGAGAAGGAATTGTCTGGGCTGCTTCTTCCTCCCTGCTTTGTGATCCTGCAAATACAACTGCCATACTTCAAACTCTGAACCTTGACATTTGAAAGACACATTCTGTATTGGATAGCTGGTGTATAATTTCTTCAGTATAAAACATTTGCTGCATGATTTTTCTAGTCTCACAATATGCTTTGCACACTTTTCTCACAAAAAATGAAGTGACATTATATTCTCCATAGCAGAGTTTATGTAACTTTTATAAAGTTGTAGAATACAGGTTTTAAAAATCCTTTTTCAGATGGTACATTTATGAAGGTTATATTACTGAAAAGCAGTGAGGTGGGATAGCAGTGTATTCTAAGGATAATTAATGCATGCTATATCATAATGAGCTTTGGGAGAAGTTTTAAATCAGCAGAACTCTTCTGGATGATTTGAAATAATGAAAATAATTTTCTCTTTAATTGTTATTTTTAGTTTTACAGAATTTTTGGATCCATTCCAGCGGGTTATCCAGCCAGAAGAGATCTGGCTATATAAGAATCCTTTGGTGCAATCAGACAACATACCTACACGTCTTATGTTTGTAAGTACTAAAGGTTTATTGGTCATTTGATGGCTACAAATTAAGTACACTTTCATTTGCTAAGCAGTAGGAAACCTTTCATACTTATAGCATATGCCTGTAAATCTAATAACGATTGTTTTCCAAACCAGGGAGGTGCAAAATGACAGAACGTAGGAAATCGTGGGGAGTTTCTAAAAAGCAGCATTACCAGGTGACTGAATTTAGGCATGTTGAGTTTACAGTTTAAGATTTAAAGTTTCAAGATTCAGTGTTGATATAAAGGGATTATAGAGAAATTATTAGAGAAACTTTCTGAACTGGCTGGTTGTGTGACCTGACAAAACCTTGCCATGCTCTTATTAGGTTTTAGTGCTTAAAGTTTGAAATCCAGTTTGTTTTATGTGTGTTAAGCACTGAGAGATTTGCCTCCAAGTCCTTTTTTTTTTTTTCTTCCTTTCTTTTTTTTTTTTTTTACATGTAGACAAAACCTTTGTTTTAGCTTCTGCCAAAAAAGAGTACTAAATATATCATAGAGCTGCTCTGCTGTCACTGTTCCTTGGGCTGTCGCCAGCACAGCTCACGTTGACTGATCAACAGCTCGGCCTGTTGATTTACAAACTGGCTGGTTGATTTTGATGGTTTGGTTGTCAAAACTGATGGTATTGATAACCTTCTCTAGCAATGAGTAACAATTGTGATAATCTACATATAAAACTGTAAGAATACAGTAAGACCACTAGTATCAACTGCTGGGTTATTTTATGCACTAGGAGATTTGAATTCAAGAGAAATGTTGTGAATACTCCAAGCTCAGATCCAAACGGATCCAGGCTGGAGAGCTGGGCAGGGAGAAACCTAATGAAGTTCAACAAGGGCAAATGCAGAGTGCTCCATCTGGGATGAAGAACCTCAGGCAGAACAGGTTAGGGATTGACCTGCTGAGTAGCTCTAGGGAAAAAGACCTGGGAGTCCTGGTGGACAATAGGCTGACCATGAACCAACAATGTGCCCTCACAACCTGAAGAGCCAGTGCCACCCTGGGGTGCATTCAGAAGACTGTCCAGCAGGTTGAGGGAGTTTCTCCTCCCTCACTTCTCTGCCCTGGTGAGGCCTCACCTGGAGCACTGTGCAGTTCTGGACTCCTCAGTTCAAGAAGGACAAGTAGTACGGACTAAGATGATTAAGAGTCTGGAGCATCTACCATATGAGGAAAGACTGAGAGCTGAGGCTGTTGAGTTTAGCAAAAAGGAGGCTGAGAGGGGATCAAGAAGATGGGGTCAGACTCTTCTCAGTGGTGTCCAGTGACAGAACAAGGGATAATGGTCACAAACTGGTACACAAGATGTTTAACCTAAGCGTAAGAAAATACTTCTTTATTCTGAGGGTAGCAGAACACTGGAACAGGCTGCCCAGGGAGGCTGTGGAGTCTGCATCCCTGGAGACATTCAAAACCCACCTGCACATGTTCCTCTGTCATCTGCTCAAGGGGATCCTGCTCTATCTGGGGGGCTGGACTTGATGATCTCCAGAGGTCACTTCCAACCCCTAACATTATGTGATTCTGTGAAATCAGACAACACCTCAAAGACTGGAAAGGCCTGAGCCTTGTTCTAGCTCTCTATCTGTAGATATTCCTTGTCTTGGAAGGTGGAAGGTGCTGTCAGCTTCTCTTGAATGCGTGGTAGTATGTGAGAGTCCCTATAACTTTAACTTTAGCATGGCTTGCCAGGATGAATAATGAATGAGGGAGGTTTTGTTCATGTTTCACAAAAGCAAGGCACTGTTGGAATATGTCACTGCTGGAAAGCAAAACATTGCTGAGATGCATTTGGAGAGAGTATTGTTTGTTAGACCCATGCAGAATCTTTTTGCAAAATAAAGAGAAAGGAGTTTTTAACAACCCAAACTTTCTTGATATGTGCATTTTGCTGCAGAGTCAAAAAATACCTTCCAGGTAACGTTCTTGTGTAAGAAACAACAATGTGCTGCAAACAACAGTAGCTCTTCATCCCTCTCAAAAATCCATGTGCTTGTGAAATATGAGGAAATCTGCAGTTTTACTGGATTTCTGAAGATTGATTGTCAAGTGTTTAAAGCAAGCTGCCACTTGAATTCTATTCTTTGTTGGTATTTTCTGCTGCTCCTGCTTGTTCAAAAGATTTCTATCTCCATCAAACCATCATTCTAAGCCTGTCAGCCTGGCTATATTTCTGTATGTTCTTCAACAATGGAAGAACAAATGGTTCCAAACTCACTTTTTTACATGTAGACAAAACCTTTGTTTTAGCTTCTGCCAAAAAAGAGTACTAAATATATCATAGAGCTGCTCTGCTGTCACTGTTCCTTGGGCTGTCCCCACCACAGCTCACGTTGACTGATCAACAGCTCGGCCTGTTGATTTACAAACTGGCTGGTTGATTTTGATGGTTTGGTTGTCAAAACTGATGGTATTGATAACCTTCTCTAGCAATGAGTAACAATTGTGATAATCTACATATAAAACTGTAAGAATACAGTAAGACCACTAGTATCAACTGCTGGGTTATTTTATGCAGTAGGAGATTTGAATTCAAGAGAAATGTTGTGAATACTCCAAGCTCAGATCCAAACGGATCCAGGCTGGAGAGCTGGGCAGGGAGAAACCTAATGAAGTTCAACAAGGGCAAATGCAGAGTGCTCCATCTGGGATGAAGAACCTCAGGCAGAGCAGGTTAGGGATTGACCTGCTGAGTAGCTCTAGGGAAAAAGACCTGGGAGTCCTGGTGGACAATAGGCTGACCATGAACCAACAATGTGCCCTCACAACCTGAAGAGCCAGTGCCACCCTGGGGTGCATTCAGAAGACTGTCCAGCAGGTTGAGGGAGTTTCTCCTCCCTCACTTCTCTGCCCTGGTGAGGCCTCACCTGGAGCACTGTGCAGTTCTGGACTCCTCAGTTCAAGAAGGACAAGTAGTACGGACTAAGATGATTAAGAGTCTGGAGCATCTACCATATGAGGAAAGACTGAGAGCTGAGGCTGTTGAGTTTAGCAAAAAGGAGGCTGAGAGGGGATCAAGAAGATGGGGTCAGACTCTTCTCAGTGGTGTCCAGTGACAGAACAAGGGATAATGGTCACAAACTGGTACACAAGATGTTTAACCTAAGCATAAGAAAATACTTCTTTATTCTGAGGGTAGCAGAACACTGGAACAGGCTGCCCAGGGAGGCTGTGGAGTCTGCATCCCTGGAGACATTCAAAACCCACCTGCACATGTTCCTCTGTCATCTGCTCAAGGGGATCCTGCTCTATCTGGGGGGCTGGACTTGATGATCTCCAGAGGTCACTTCCAACCCCTAACATTATGTGATTCTGTGAAATCAGACAACACCTCAAAGACTGGAAAGGCCTGAGCCTTGTTCTAGCTCTCTATCTGTAGATATTCCTTGTCTTGGAAGGTGTAAGGTGCTGTCAGCTTCTCTTGAATGCGTGGTAGTATGTGAGAGTCCCTATAACTTTAACTTTAGCATGGCTTGCCAGGATGAATAATGAATGAGGGAGGTTTTGTTCATGTTTCACAAAAGCAAGGCACTGTTGGAATATGTCACTGCTGGAAAGCAAAACATTGCTGAGATGCATTTGGAGAGAGTATTGTTTGTTAGACCCATGCAGAATCTTTTTGCAAAATAAAGAGAAAGGAGTTTTTAACAACCCAAACTTTCTTGATATGTGCATTTTGCTGCAGAGTCAAAAAATACCTTCCAGGTAACGTTCTTGTGTAAGAAACAACAATGTGCTGCAAACAACAGTAGCTCTTCATCCCTCTCAAAAATCCATGTGCTTGTGAAATATGAGGAAATCTGCAGTTTTACTGGATTTCTGAAGATTGATTGTCAAGTGTTTAAAGCAAGCTGCCACTTGAATTCTATTCTTTGTTGGTATTTTCTGCTGCTCCTGCTTGTTCAAAAGATTTCTATCTCCATCAAACCATCATTCTAAGCCTGTCAGCCTGGCTATATTTCTGTATGTTCTTCAACAATGGAAGAACAAATGGTTCCAAACTCACTGTAAACAGAACTTTTAAGTGGAAATGGTGCATCTTTTTGCACAAAACCTAGTGTCAGCCTTTCAAAATGTAAGGAAGGGGGAGCAGAGTCCAGGCTGTGTTTTAATCTGCATGGTTGACTGAGTTAAATAATATTTTGCAAATGCAGATGAGGGGGTATATGGTCTAAGATTCACCAGCAAAATAAGAAATACGGTACATTGTCAGGTTGTTCCCTCTTCAGGCATTCAAAAAGCATAAAATGAGGACTGGGATTGATGTATATTACAAAAAGAAGAGAGTCAAACATCTTTTGTCATAACCTGTGTGTCCTGTCTCTGTTTTTTATTTCAGTGGGGCTCTTTAAGTAAGGCACTCTTCACCCTAGGTTAAGATAGCATGATCTTACTTAAGCCCTGCCACTCCTCCTGCCATATATACAGCTTAATTTTTTCCTTGTTTAAAAAACAAACAAGCAAAAAAACCAACCAATATTTTTTACTTCTCTTCAAGAGAATAAATGCTTTTGAAATACTTTGATTTTATTTTTGAACAAATGCAATTGTGGAGAGGTTTGTAGATCTCAGGAGCAAACTGGTTAACTTAGACTGGAACCAGAAAGATGCATAAATGGACCACTTTGCCTACAAGTTGTCTTTTGCCTCTCCAGTTGAAAGTCTGGGACAGAAGGGATGATGGGTGGACCAGTTGGGAACAAAATAATAATTTTCATGGCAAGCTACTAATTAAAAACTGCTTGCTATTGTGCTTCAGAGAAACTGATACATCTCTCTGGAGAAAGACAGTAAATACCCTCTCTGGAGGACAGACTGCAGCACAGACACTGAACAAAGTAGGATGCTTTTGGGATAACTGGCACATTTACAGTGAATCATCAACCATAGTCCCCATGATAATGGAGATGCTGTTCTTGGAAGTCAAGTGTGTGCATTGATGTGCAGATGCTATTTCAGGTTCCTTGTAGAAATAATCCTGTCCTACAAGCACTGATGATAAAATAGTGTCTTTATGCTTAACCAGTGAGTGTATTTGCAGATATTCAGGTGTTGCTTTCCTGGTTTTGAACAAAATCAAGCAGTTGGCTCTGCATCCAAGTGCTTGTAAATGAAAAGTAACAATAAGACATGATCTTCTCAGAGCTTCCAAGAATGCGAGTGAAAAGGAAAAAAAGAAAAGGTAAAATAAAGAGCATTTTAAAATGCCAGGAACTTTGTCCTGGAGACACATGTTGAATACATTGAATAGGGAGCACAGCCTGGATGGGCTGCCTTCCAGAGCAGTGCTGAGGGTGGAAAAAATGTACAGGCACGCGTGGATCAGCATTTGAATTGTGTGGACTTTATAGACTCTTGCTTTTTCATTTATGAAAGTGACACTTTAAGTGCAGCTTCAGGCAATTACAAATCAATTATAACCCAGTTATGTTACAATTTTAATGTATCCATTGCCCTGTAGTTTCAAAGACAAATCTTTCCACTTTGCTTAAGGTCAGGAGTTTGACAAAGATCAGTCAGCCTCCCAGTTTAAACGGAGATAACTGGAACTAATTATAAATCAGCTGGACTGGAAAGGAATTTACTCTCTCACACATGAAATTTGTTATCTTTTACAGGCAATCTCATTCCTCACGCCACTCGCAGTCATTTTTGTGGTGAAAATAATCCGCCGAACAGACAAGACTGAAATTAAAGAGGCTTTCTTAGGTAATGTATGTCATACTTCCAAGTTGGAAAAATGTGTGATAGCTCTCAGAGATTGATTCCAATTGCACTCTAAGCCTTGAAGGAAATTTGTCTCATTTACAGTCCATTATGGTGGTTTTTAGTGCAGTTATATTTTTCAAGCCATCTCACTAAACCTGTGTTTTTATGTGTGCTTCTAAATGTACACACAGACAAGATCATCTCAGAGACTGTTCAGATGTCTGTTTTTCTCTCGCATCAGATCTGTTACTTGCCTCTGATTTATACCTGCAGCTATTCTAATTTAAGGGATTGACTGGAAAGCTCTGTGAGACTCAGCTGCTTAGTGTAGGAAATTACTCCTCTCATTGTTTTCTCTGACCTTCTGGAGTTTGCTGTTCCTCACTGCAAAATCGTGCTCATGGCTCAGCTTTTCTAATCACCAGCTGGTGTTTCATCTTGAACTGCCAGTGGAGTTAGATGGGTATTTAATCCTGGACTGTGAACTGCTATGGCTGTACTATGAGTGAGTTCTAATTACAGTTGTAGGCAGAAACTTTGAGCAGAGCAGTAGATAGACAGTGGGGATGGTAAGTCTTAAACTATTTCAGCTAATTCTGCCTGTGCCTATATATTGAAGTCTTTAAATAGATGCTCAGATCCTTTTTACACAGATATTGCCAGAGACCTAAACTGCCCTGAGCACTCTCAGTGGCAGAGGCTACTTTAAAGCACCAAGAACTGCAAATGTTTTTGTTGGCAGGATATTTGAAATATGCCTAATTCTGAAATAGTCCTTTACTGGCTAATTCATGCTTTAACTAACTGGTCATTAAATTGTAAGGGTAAAGCAGTGCTCAGCCTTGCTCTAGCTGGGTAGGATGTAAATGCTACTATGTATTGGCCTTTGAACTTTTTTTTTTTTTAGACAAGGTGGGGTTCCCATACCTTGTTCTTTCTCCAGCTGCTCTAATCCAAGGGTGAAGAGATGGTAGTTTTGTTTTGGCTGCTGCCAGTCATTTGTAGTAAGTTCTGGGCTGTTTTACAGTGATATTTTACTGATAAGTCCATTCAGTAGAATTACTCAGTTTCATAACATGCATATGGTCACAATTCTGAGTTTCACCTTCTGTTGTTTCAGAGGGTAAGGAGCTTTGGATTAATTTCTCCCTCACTTATCCTCACCTCATTGTTCTAAAGAGATGCTCTGTTCTTGCCTTCTGTGATGATTCCCTCTATAATGTCTAGGAGAAAACTTGCCAGCTTCCCCAGTATCCTCCTTGCTGTTCAGACTTTGAAGGAAAGCCCAGCCTTGATGTGCTGTTCTGTGGGATATCCCTGTTCAGTATGTGCTGTAAGAATGGAACATCTTGTGGCTTAATTATGTTCAAGTGTCCTGTACAGTCATATGATTCAGTATGTTAATGTGGTGATGGGAAGCTGATGTGGAGATTCATTAACTGTGGCAGAACTTTGCAGATTTCCTGAGATCTGGCACATAATGCTCATAATGAATTCCCAGGAAGTCTCCCAAAAGGTGAATTTCTTTAGGCATCATATGTAGAAGAGATCAAAGGTTAAAAGGATGAGAAAAGGCTTTGCTCTTCATATAGCCATTAATATAAAGAAGGTGATTCAGTGCATCTAGGGCAAGGAGTAGCTAGCTTCCTAATGTAGGAGGCCTTAATCCCTCCTGGAAGTGCCTACACCTCTTTGCAGACTAGACTGTATGACTTTTGGAGGGCAGTATGAACCTTTCCTAAAGGGAACAAAATGAGAGCAAATAAATGCAATTGGTTTGTCAGCTCACATTCACACTGTCATTTGATACCTGGTTTGCCCTTGGAAGGAATCTGCAGCAGTGGGAGCCTGGTTCAGTCAGGTATGCAAAGCCAAGGCAAAGCTCAAGGGAAAGGGTAAACTTGACTGCATGTCTCAGCAAGTGGGTATCTCTACATCTCCCATTCCTCAAAATGCATTGGACTTGGTGGAAAATTTCAGTTCCCCATGCAGTCACCAGAAACGACTGAGAGAAAAGAACTGAGAGGAAAAAGAGGGCAGGGGATTGAGTGGTCACTGGCAACACAGGTGTTAGAGGGGAAGCCTTTTTGAGCCGTGTCGGTGTCTCTGAGACTGACTTGGTCTTGTATTTTTGCTGGCAGCTGTAGCTGTAGTATGAGAAAACCCTTGGTTTTGCTTTGATGGAGGACCTCTTTTTTTTTTTTAACTTAAAGAAAAATAGGTCCTATAACACATTTTTATGATCTATAACACCTTCAGGCAAAGGTTTTATGGGCACAGGGGGAGTGCTGCAGAAGTGCAGCATCTGGGGCAGCAGTCCAAGGAGAAAATAGCTCGTGTGGCTGTCATAATCAAAAGTGATGTGACTGTTACTGTCTGGCTGGAAATCAGACATTTGCCTGATACTTTTTTTTTTCTGATGAGAAATAAACTTCAGTGGCTCTTGTGTTGGTAAGAGGAAGCTACAACGTGAACTGCATTATTAATCAGTTTTAATCTGAATGGAGTGTATACACTGGATCCAAGTGCCGCTGAAATCAAGGCAGAGATCTCCACAGATTTTAGATGAGGTTCTTTGGACAGCCTAGGGACTCAGCAGATGAGTACAAATAAAAAAGATTATTCAGTCATAATTAGTATGACAGTTCCTGTTTATTACTCCAGTTGTGTTAAGAAAATTGGTTAATCCTGGGAACACATGTGAGGGGGAAATGTCAAGATTTTTAGTCAGAACATCCAGATCCTTTCAAAAGTAAAATTAAAAAAAGTCATCCAATTCTAGTTTTAGACAAAAGGCAATTCTTTAACCTGAAAGTGGATTGTTTAAGTGCATCATATAAATATGCACACACATACATACATAAACACATGCATACATGTTAAGACGTATCTCGTGTCTAGGTCTACACAGGAATTCTTGACCCAAAGAGTGTAAGATTTTTATCTGGTAAACTGAAAAACTGCCAAGCTCAGTATTTGATTCTTTAATAATTGTTTCCATCTGATGATTAATGCCTGTGCAAATGGCATTATAGGAAAATTGGCTTTGTGTAAGAAAATAAGATTTCTCAGGAGTACAAGCAGAACAAAGCAAGTGAAGTGATTATTATGATGCTCTGGGGTCTGTCTTTGGTGTGGCTAGTAAGAAATACAGCTGGCTGCAAAGATCATTCAGTTTCCAGTCCAGTAAAAGTTTCAGTCTGTAAATCAAATGCTGCAATGCTGCAAATAAATAGCTTGGTATTTACGTTATCATTATTTTTCTGTTTGTTCATTCTGTTTTGTAGCTGTTTCCTTGGCTCTAGCTCTGAATGGTGTCTGCACAAATACAATTAAATTAATTGTGGGAAGGTAAGTCTTGTCATGTTATATTTGGTAGCTTTAACTGTAAAGATAGTTGAAGACAGATTGACAAATAAAATGTGTCTTAATAAAAAGACAGCTGCTGCTCCAAAGCATGTAGAAACAAAACAGGCCCCTGTGAAGCTGTTCTTTCCCTGGTGCAGGTGTTATACAACTTCATTCTGTGACATCCAGCTGTGGCAGAGATCTCTGTGCCCGGTTGTTCTGCTATTTGTTTGACCAGTTGGTGGATCCAGGCAAATGAGGAATTAGAAAGGACATGTGTGAGCTGAAATCAGTTCATTAAACTGGCAACACGGAAGGGGAGAGTCACAGCATGTGGAATTTTAGGTGCCAGTGTCACTAGTCTGATAAAATAGGAATCAATTGAGTCTCTCTATATCCCAGTGCCCACATTATGTGTGAAACATATTACTGAGTGTGGTATTTCCAGGTGGCATTAAGATTTGTGGCAGAATAAAACTTGGAGCTAAGCAATAAGTGGACTGCTGGGGAGGCCATTATGTAGGGGACCGTAGATTTCATAGAATCATACAACTACTCAGGTTGGAAAAGACCCTTGGGATCACCAAGTCCAACCATCATCCCTACTCTACAAAGTTCTCCCCTAAACCATCTCCACCAACACCACATCCAAACGACCCTTCCACACATCCGGGGATGGTGACTCAACCACCCCCCTGGGCAGCCTGTTCCAGTGTCTGACCACTCTTTCTGTGAAAATTTTTTTCCTAATGTCCAGTCTAACCCTGCCCTGTTGCAGCTTGAAGCCTTTCCCTCTTGTTCTGTCGCTAATTACCTGTGGAAAGAGACCAGCACCAACCTCTCTACAATGACCTTTCAGGTAGTTGTAGAGACTGATGAGGTCTCCCCTCAGCCTCCTCTTCCTCAAACTAAACATTCCCAGCTCCTTCAAGTGATTTGAATGAAGGGCTCAGAAAAATACAAGCAAACAGGAAAAAAATATAATAAAAAAATAAATGTATATTTAGGTATTTTTAAACTGTACAATTTTTGCATTATTTCAGCTGAAAAGTATTCATCTGACTTGAATTCATACACTACTGAATAGAGTCCAATGCTGCATTTGTGTTTACCTGTCTTGCAGCATTCAGGAAGCAGTACTTGTATTTGGTTTCTCATGAGCCCTTTCTGCTGCTGATGTCCTGACAATAAAGTTAGTGGGCACTTTTAAATTTAAGAGTGCTTTTGAAATATAATTCAGAATGTCTGCACCATCTTCTTCAGGCAAACATGAGATCATTTTTGCCTGCATTCCAAGCCAACAAGTTACCTTGTGCTCCAAGCCAGCTCTGTTATCTTGTCTCTCAATCTGTGGTCATTTGCCTTGGTTTTCTGCATGGTTTATTTGCTGAGGATCACTAGGACACCAGTCAAAGCTACGAGCTACCACTCAGCTTAGAGCAGGGTCAAAAGAAACTTACTTTGAAGGTTTGCTTAATGCAGTTAGAGAGTCAGCATCAAGGCTGGCAGTAGAATTACTGGCATTACTCTGCCCTGGTAAAACCTCACCTAGAATACTGCATCCAGTTCTGGTGCCCCCAGCACAAGAAAGATGTGGACCTGTTGGAATTTGTCCAGAGAAGGGCCACGAAAATGATCTGAGAGCTGGAGCAGCTCTCTTATGAGGACAGGCTGAGGGAGTTGGGGCTGTTCAGTCTGAAAAAGAGAAGGCTCTGGGGGAACCTCATAGTGGCCTTCCAGTACCTGAAGGGGCCTGCAGGAAAGCTGGGGAAGGACCTTTTACAGGGGCTTGCATTGAGAGGACAAGGGGTAATGGTTGTAAACTGAAAGAAGAGAGATTTAAGTTAGAGGTCAGGTGTAAATTCTTCAGTGTGAGGGTGGTGAAACACTGGAACAGGCTGCCCAGGGATGTTGCCGGGGCTTCATCCCTGGAGGTGTTGAAGGGCAGGTTGGATGGGGCTCTGAGCAGCCTGGTCTAGTGGGAGGTGTCCCTACCCATGCAGGGGATTGGGACTAGATGATCTTTAAAGTCTCTTCCAACTCCAAACATTCTGTGGTTCTGTAATTTGGTGGGGTTTTTGTGCCAGTCTCATAGCCTACGTTGTAGTCCTGTTCTCAGCTAGATGTGTTAAGGCTTGTGGAGCTTTGTGGGGTTGCTGCTTGCTCTGTCACTGGGAAGTGCTGTGTGAGATTGATTGCTCTAGCAAGAGTGACCCTGCCTGTTGTTTTCAGAGGCAGCACTGGAAGCCTCCCTGAGAGAGACTGCCAGTAAACTTGTGCCCTTGAATTGGGTGTTCAAGGAAAACAAAGCATTTCTGTCGCTGTGTTAATGCAGGAGGGAACGAACTCTGTATGTAATGAGAAGTAAATGTAATAATCACTTTGAGGTTCATTTGTTACTACAGCTTTTATATTTTTAATATCCATGGTGTTTTTTGTAGACCGCGTCCCGATTTCTTTTACCGCTGCTTTCCAGATGGAGTAATGAACTCTGAAATGCACTGCACAGGTGATCCAGATCTGGTGTCTGAAGGCAGAAAAAGCTTTCCCAGTATCCACTCTTCCTGTAAGTTCATTTAAATGCAGTGCCCTTTTTTTTTTCTTTTTTTTCTGCCTTTTTTATTTTTTTTAAATGCTGTCCTATCTATGTTTTGGAATTGCTCTTTTTTTTCCCCCCCTGTAAGGTCATGAACCTGATTTTGACTTCACTGAGAGCTAGAGCAGGACTATCAGCAGAGTGAAGCACTATTCAAGGTTAAATACAACAGTGTGGTTCTCAGGGGTATCTGTTCCCTTCTATAGACCTTTGTCTGTATAGTGAATATTTACTCTGTTATGTTCTACTGGAGAATGAAACATGACAAGGTATGTTTGACCTGCATAGTTTTGAGAAGACCTAGTTAATATCTTTCAAGTACTAGATCTATTAAACCAAGGTTCAACAAAGACAGTTCAACTGCTTTTATCATTAAGGTTTCTTCAGGGGAGGTTGTGTGCTCGAAGGTGGAACTGGTAGAAAGAGATACACAGAGGTTGTCATGTAATTTTGATGCTGTTCACCAAGTGAGCTTCAAGAAGTCCCTGTAGCTCTAGAGGCTGCAGTTTGCCAGTAAAAGGATGATTCTCTAGTCCCCTCTGTTCTCTGTTGACAGTATTCACTGATGGCTGTGACTGAGGAAAGAATCCTTCTTTATGTGGGTCTTTCTTCTGATGGCTTGTTATACTTTCATGGTCAGACGTCTGCTGCCACTGGGCTGCTTTGTCTGGGCACAGGCAGGAGGAAATGGTGGCTCTGAGGGCAGCCCCAGCATGCAGAGGAAATAGGTAGAATGTCCTGGCTTCTGTCAGCACAACAGTGGTGTGTAATGAGGGAACAGTGGTGTCAACGACCCCTTATTTAAAAGAGCAGGTGAGCAGAAGAAAGAGGCAAAACTGGCACAGTTTGGAGTTTCTGTGGTTTTTTGTCTGCTCCTAGGACAGCACAGTCACTTGTCATGCCATTTGGCTTTGGGGTGATCCTCAGTCTAGGTCTGCTGGCTTGGTCAGTTACTCCTGGCTCGTGCTGTAAACTGGCAGATGTTTAAGTGGTTTTATGGAAACTCATATGTCTGATATAATTAGTTGTATTGACTCAGATGTTTACCAAGGTTCCTTTCTCTGTCTTGAGGAGCTGACTTCGAGAGTGTTTCATGTCAAGCATCTAATGAAACTTTTCATATGTAAAATAACTTGAACGCTGTGAACTTTTGGGGGGGTTTTGGCTGGTATTTTTGGATGCCTTGTGCTGCTCTGAGAACAGCCAGTGAAGTACCAGCAATTCATACCTCTGGATTTTGTTTTTCTGATATATTTATTTCTTAAGATAATAACTTGAAATTGTCTGATGGTACAGAATTATACACTGCAAACATATTGGGTAATGAGATGAATGGAGTTCTTTCTCTCTTTTTCTTGCTTGAGTTCCAGAAACAGGTAAGGAAGTATATGATGTTTGTGGATATATTGTCAGCTTTACAGTATACTGTTTACAACAAGTAGTATTTATTGCTCTTTGTAGTCTCTCTTCATAGCTGGTTATCACAATTAATTTCAGTTCTCTTGGTTAAGTATATTGTCAACAAAGGCTTAAAATTAAATCTGTGTATACTCTGATGTATTAGGATTTACAGATTAGCCCTCAGCAAGTGTCACAGTTGGTCACCTTCCTTTACTAGAATGCAACAGTTTACTCCAGGGCTGCAAAGTGTGACTTGCAGAAGACACCCAATGTGCTTGTGGTTTTGCACAGACTAGAAACACTGTATGTGTTTCCAGCCATGCTCTGCTTGGCTCTGGCACATGTATTACTTCTCTTACTGAGACTTCTTGTCACAAAGCAAAGTGCTTTGTCCCTGTGCCAGTGGGGCAGCCATGAAAGGCATACTGGGGTTTTGAATATTGCTGATACTGAATTTGGAAGCAGAGTTGTTACTGCAGCTCACACAAAATTCAATTGAAGCAGAATGATGGCCCAGTGTATTTAGGTGAAAATTATGAGATCCACTTTCTCCAGACCAACTAATAAAATACTAGTGTGTAGGTGAGTTGACTATACTTCCCACTACAAAGTTTTTTATTATGTGATAAGAATGAAAAGATGGATATGCAGTAATTTTTATCTATTGGTAAGTGTGTGCTAGAGTGAGGCAATTCTGCAGCTGCTGAAGGTACTTAGCTCTTTGAAGCCTGATGTTATAATATCAAAGTCTCTGACAAGATTGTGTATTTTGAAGCCTTCATATCTATACATATTTTAGTCTCATAATGGAGAAGGAAACCATTTGAATTTATAATCTTATAACCTCTGCTCCTCCTATGTCATCCTTTCTCAGTTGCAGAATTCATGATGCAGCACCAAAAAAGGGTTGTTTTTTTTCTCTTACTGTTTGTTTGGGCTTTTTTCATGCCTGTGGAAATGTGGGGAGCATCAGAGCTGACAAACTATAGTATCTCTTGCTTAGAAGCCTCAGTAAAAGACCCATTTTCATCTTCAAAGCAGTTTTTCTTGGAGCACTCCTTAGACTGTCTGTCACAACTTTTTGTTGTATCAGGTTCAAAAGGAGGCCTTTAACAAGAAAGCCTGTGAGTGTTGTGCTATCAGTACATAGTGCAGGGATGTGTAACATGAGTGACATTGCTGACACCCCCAGCTGGTCTGACCTGACCTTCCATTCTCAAAAAAAATATTGTGAACTACCTGTCTTCCACGTTGAGAGTCAACTTGTGCCTTGAAGGTGTGTTTCCCAGCTGGTCTGATCTGACCTTCCATTCTCAAAAATATTGTGAACTACCTGTCTTCCACTTTGAGAGTCAACTTGTGCCTTGAAGGTGTGTTCTCCTTAGTAGAGAACAGATTATTTTCTTGGCCTAAACTATCATGTCTTTCATTGCCCTGTGCTAAGGAGGGCATGTAATACATACAAGAACAATGTATGGAGCACAAACTGTTTTGTAAAGCCACAGAGGGACTTGCAGATAGCTGCAAACTGTAGTTGCCCAAAGCAATTTTGTACCACAACAGAACAGGAGGCTGAGCCATATGATCTTTAAGGTCCCTTCCAACCTGAACCCTTTCTATGATTCTGAGACCAGAACTCCAGCTGCAGTGGCTGCTGAGAATGAGCTTTGGGCTGGCCAGCCTCATTCAAAGCTACTGTCTCCTAGCTCTGCATTCTGCTGTCTTTTTCTGGAAAGACTGTTGAAGTTGGGTGAGTGCTCTTGGTAACTTTTTATAACAGAAACTTGAGTTTTGAGTCTTGACCTGAAACAAAGTTCACTCATGTTCATATGTTACCTCCCAGAGCAGTAAGTATTTAAACAAAATAAAGTAACTAGACACCACTGATCTGGCAGTCAGAAATATTGCTGAACTGAGCCCAGGAGCTGCATCCAGCCAAAGAAAGGTCTTGTGTTCCTGTGCTTGGGTATGAATGTTGTGAACTGTGATGGTGGAGGGAGTTGAGGTGAGCACAGTGTGGTGATCTCAGTGTGTGGGGCCCTTAACCTGGCTTCTCTTTCCCATAGGAAAGTAGTCATAGGAATTTTTTTAATTTTTAATTTTCTTTATAGTATTAAACTGCTAAAGGAATGTCCAAAGCCATAACCTGCACAGAGGAAGGGTATGCCCACAGACCTACTGCATATCTCATCTCAACAAGCAGTAGGCCATTCTGATGGACATACATACAGCTTTGCAACAGCAGCAAAACCCACACGATTGTGTTCTGCTCTGCTTTCCAGGTAGATGATTTCTGAGTGGATTCTCTCCTGGAGCATTCTTAGGAAAAGTGGCAATTCTGCAGTAAGAGACTGGCTTTCAGTGTTCAGTAAAATGGGTTGTTTAGGTTAGGAAAAAAAGAAAGAAGAAAATAATATCTCTTACACACTGACATGACTGTAGCAATGAAGTCTTTGTATGAACAAGTGTGGGTAAATAATGGTAACACAACCCATTTTCTTTAGAAACAGCAAAAATTCAGTGTGAATGAAATTCCAGATTCTTGACCCTGTTTGCTTCCTTAAAGGCAGTGATTGATTCCTCGTGATAGAACTCCCTTCAGGCTCGTATTCTGCTCAAAACCTTTGCATGCAGATTGCAGTTCCCAGAGTTTTGATCTCAGCTTTATTTAGTGACTGTTCTTATGTGTGCCAATTCTGGGTTGGTCAGAACTATTTAAGCTGTGCTTCTCAGCTAAGGCATTGCTGTCACTGATTTGAGGGTGCTGCATGACACTGGGTCTGACACCTTTGTGCTGAAGAAAGAAAAAATGGCTTGATGAGAGTTTATTTTAACCTCCTTGTTAACCTCCTTGGAGCTGGTACTGCTCAGTATTGGTAGTCAGTGGCAGATCAAGCTCAGGATTGTCATGAATCCCAATATATGCAGCTTGAAATTTATGGCTGCTATAAATAAATGAATGATCAGCTGCTAGTCTGGTTTGTATTAGCTTATGGTTTGATTCACAATTTTTTTCAGGTTGAAGGTACCTCTGGAAATGGTCAAAACAGGGTCAGTGGGAGCAGGTTCCTCAGCCCTGTGTCCTGTTGAGTTTTCCATGACTCTGAATATGGAGATACCACACCCTTTCCATAAGGGAAACCTGTGTTTTTTCTGTCATAGTGAGAATGTTTTTTCTTGTCTTTAAATGTAATTTTCCTGCAGTTTGTGTCCATTGTCTCTTCTTTCCTTTCTTAGGTACCATGAGAAGAGTCTGGCTTTTTGTTCCCTAGAGCAGGACTTTGGACTTCCCTGTGTTGGAACTTCAGAAGATTTGTGTCTGATAGAAAGGTCCAAACTGATCCTAGTAGATTTGAGATCAACTGAATGAAAGACAAGCTTGATAGAAATTAAAATCAGTTGAATAACACAAAGGCTGCAGAGATAATTAAACTTATTATTTCATTTTTTGGGTTGGAAAGATTCACGGGCACAGAAACAATTTAAAAAATAACATCTTCTAGTATGAAAGTCCTATACTAGCAGTAGAAGAAATAGAATATGTTATTTTATTTTTGTAGCTGCAATTT